AATGATGCGGCAACTCGGGGATCGGATGATAGACTATTGACGGCTCTGAGCTAACTGTTGCTGTTCCTTGCACGATTATGTGCGTGAGGCACTTGCCTAATGCGTAGTCGTCAGGGAGACAAAGGTGTGACCCTTGGTAACGGGCGATTAGTTCTAATCGCCCGCTCTAGCGGCGATTAGAACTAATCGCCCGCTACAGCGGGCGATTAGTTAGTAATCGACCCTGTTGAAACAAAAGAAACCCGGGCAACTATGCTATTATTATAAGTAATAGCATGGCTTGAGGGAGATTAGTGATTAAATGGCCCCGTAACCCGAGGCAGGTTTGCGGAATTCCCGAGGGCGAAGCCCGTGGGAATTCCGCAAACCTGCCGAGGGTAAGGGGTCATTTAATCACTAATCTCCCGAAAAGCCATGCTATTAGTTTGTAATAGCATAGTTTCGCTCCCATTTAAAAATGGACAAACATGCCCTACTTGGAATCAGCGTATTTAAGCTAAAACATTTGCTTCATTGCTTGTGGGATGTAAAAGCTTGTTGCACATGCGCACTTTTTACGCTTTAATCGTTTACGCATGCGCAATCTATCATTTAACGTACCACAACAAACACGCTAAATATATTAGTATAAATTTGGAGACTGCACGTGCGTAATTTAAATGATGCGGCAACTCAGGGATCGGATGATAGACTATTGACGGCTCTGAGCTAACTGTTGCTGTTCCTTGCACGATTATGTGCGTGAGGCACTTGCCTAATGCGTAGTCGTCAGGGAGGCAAAGGTGTGACCCTTGGTAACGGGCGATTAGTTCTAATCGCCCGCTCTAGCGGGCGATTAGAACTAATCGCCCGCTACAGCGGGCGATACGTGATTAAACGTCCCTGTTGAAACAAAAGAACCCGGGGCAACTATGCTATTACTTTATTAAAACATTTTTATTTTTGCATAATCGAAACAAACGAGATAAAAAGACATGTCTTTTGAATTTTTATGTTGTTGATTACTTCTATAATAATTAATTCAGCGAAGATTCATGAACCCATAGTTTTTTTACTAAGATGTTACATATCTCTTACTTCAAACACATTTGTCGTCTTGGGTTTTTCTTTGGTATACGCCTCTGAAACAATACCTCTTGGGAACTTTTCGCCAAGTTTCTATGTGTCGCTCCTTTGATGAAATGCTCTCTTCTGTATTTGTGAGATTGATCATTTCATCTAACATTTCATATATATAAATATATATATATATATATATATATATATATATATATATATATATATATATATATATATATATATATATATATATATATATATATAAAGGAAAATATTATTGGCCTGTATCTACATAATTTATACATTATATTCCATTACGGTTGATTGTATATTGCTATATATTATACCTCAAATTCAAATTGTCCAATGAAAAAACAGCATTTGTACCACGTGATAATGTGATTTTTTACGGTATTTCACTCAAATTCATGATTTCGCAATCCAGCGTGGGATACTATAATATCTCAAGGCAGATCCACCGTGGGATATTATAGTATCCCACGCTCACGTGTGACGCGTGGACACCATGCTCTGAAACAATATGGCGTTCGCGAGCTGTTGTTTGTAATTTCGTATTTTCGTACAGAATATTTGATTTAACGAAACATTTTCAAGACGCATTTTGCCTTTAAAAAGGATACAGGCTTAAATATTTAAAGAGGAAACGTCAAAAACTCAGGTATACATAAGAAATAAAAAATAAAAATTGTATTCGCGTAGTTTAATATTTATAATTTTCAGCAAGTTTTAAAGTTTATTCTCAACTTTGTGAGTTCTTTAACTTTCGGTATAATATATCATTTATAGACCCTCCGCTCGGGGGATTCAGCGTAATATTTCCCTCAGTCATGATATTTTCCTCGGGGCAAAGCCCCTCAGTGATGATATTTTCCTCGGGGCAAAGCCCCTCGGAAAATATCATCACTTCGGGAAATATTACGCCGAATCCCCCTCGCTCCGGGTCTATAAATGTTAAGTATAGCAGTATATACTGTACTTTGATTGAAGTTGCTCCTTATTCAATCCTTGACTTGAAAATTGGAAACTGTGCAACTGGGACGTACTTAAAGAATGCGTGTCAACCGTCATGCTTTGCATTGTTATTGTTTACAATCTTACCTTGGAAAGTGATTAATAAGGATAACTGTGTTCCAATTTTAGAATAAGTAAATTAATATGAGTATGTAAAGCCAAAGGATGGTTGAGTATTTGCATAGATTTAAAACGAAAATCTGAATTTTTTGGCAATTAAAATGGCAACAACGTATAGTCGAGCGTGCAAAGCATGATGATTAACACACATTGTCTTAAAATATCGTCACAAGAAATCTTGTTGTTTCTTTCTGTTGCCAATATTATGCGATTTAAGAGAAATTAATCTAATATGAAGTTGCGATTGAGAGCGATTTAAGGCAATTTAAGATGTATTTTGTCCAATTTGAAATAGCGATTTAATTTAAATTAAGGTTCCAGAGCAGGCCAAATCAATGTAATCCACATTTCTATCATGCACACTGAAGCTGAGAGAGCAGTAGCCTATAAGGCCGTTCAGAGGGTCCAAAAATGTTGGCCAACATCATGCAATAATGTTCAAATATTTTCTCAATTCTCTCAACTGCCTGTTTTTTAAATCCGTTTTATAAGATTAATCGAAATTAAATATTTCAAAATATTTTCAAAAAAAACTATCTAGATCTACAATGTTATTTGAATGTTGGGACAATAATATTTGATCCATTTAATAATCCTTTTAAACGTTATGAAATTAAACACGACTGGACCAACATATGTGGCACCCAAAGAAGAAAAATGATAAAAATCACTTCAATTGCAATTTGAAAAAAATGTCATTGTCGGGAAGCACTGTGTTATTCTCACTCAAGAAACAAGAATTACTGTTCTTGACGATGGGCGACTGGACACTAGACAATTTAGAATTCAAGAAACGGAAAATAACCTAGTTCCATGACCTGAGTGGTTTGTTCTGTGGCACATGATATGTGCCATATGCAAGGTGTATAAAAAAATAATCCAACTTTGTGTGCTCTTGTACGCTCAATATATTAGTCCACAGAATTAATTAAATTTTTCACAGAAACTGCAAATATAGGCTATATTTCATTTTTGATAGGTTTTGTAAATTTCAAAAGCTTAATTTTGAGAAAAAACGAGGCAAAAGAATTTTTAAAAGTAGGGAGTAAAGGAGCCGACTGTTGTTCTTGAAGGGGTTATCCGCCGAAACGCACCGTATAAATTTAATCCATAATTCATAAATCAACATATAATCTGCACAAAAGATCGCTTTAAGGTGGTTTCTATAGAAACAATACAAATACATTATAAACTACGCTACAACAAACAAATTACTTTACAAATACATAGAAAACAGGACAAAAAACATGCAAATGTACCTGACTTTTGCCCTTCGATCCGAACGATCAAAAAATATAAAAACATGTGTTTTTGTCACGTGATGTCCTGCCTGCTCACAGGCGATTAGGCCCTACTTTTCGGGCTAGATCCTACAAACCGGCCCCTATCGAGTATAATATAGTCGATATACTAAAATACAAGGGTCTACGCCCAGTAACTTGAACAAAGTACGAGTTCGATTGGCTTCGTATAACAATAACAATATATATAAACGTTTGTATATACCAGACCTTTCGACTATTCATCGACTTTTTTCGCCTCTTCGACTAGGCACAGTTCACGGACATGTCTCTTAAATTTCCCGCCATTCGATCTAATCATAACTTGACGCACCATTACGTCCTTATCTGCAAAAACTTCCTCGACCACTGCCATAAGCCACTGTCCTCGTGAACATCTCTTATCCACCATTAACACCAAATCTTTGACCTTTAAGTTTTTTCTGGGTTTCAGCCACTTCTGGCGCTGCTGCCGACTAGGTAGGTATTCACCCAACCATCGTTTCCAAAATGTGTTAGCTAGAAGTCGAGCTTGTCGCCACCGCTTGCTACAACGATCTTCACCAACGAACACGCCTGTAGGAAGACACGAGTTCGATCTCAAGAGAAGCAACTTGCTTGGAGTTAGTGGGTCCAAATCACAAACTTGACCTTGGTTACGATTCAGGGGGCGATCGTTGAGAATTCTTTCCACCTCGACTAAGAACGTGAGAAGTGCTTCGTCATCAATAACCTGCTCGCTTGTCAGTGCAGTTAGTATTCTTCGGATTGATCGAATCATGCGCTCCCACACTCCACCAGTGTGACTTGCCAAGGGAGGGTTGAAATGCCACGTGATTTCTTTCATTCGCAAGCGATCGTTGATCTTGGCTTGAGACTCCACTGACTGAATATTCTTGAACTCTTCCTTCAAGATTCTTGACGCTCAAATGAAATTGGTTCTATTGTCACTAAAGATTTCCTTCGGAACTCCTCGACGGGCTGTGAAGCGACTGAATGCACAGAGAAACGATTCTGCATCGAGAGAATGTGCGACTTCTATGTGAGCTGCCCGCATGGCCAAACAAGTGAAGATGCATCCGTATCTCTTGACTTGACTTCGACCTCTCTTCACCATCAAAGGACCAAAGTAATCGACTCCCGTTGACCCGAATGGATAATCTGGAACAGTTACACGAGCTGCTGGTAAAGGCGCCATTATCTGTTCACTGGGTGACGCGTATTTCTTGCGGCAATGAACACATTTGCCAATGATCCATCGAATCCTGGAACGCCCTTGGAGGATCCAAAATTCACGCTGAATAGCCGATAAAACAGTGCGAACGCCCGAGTGTCCTTCTTTCTCATGATAGTGCCGTATCAACAGTTCTACAATGTGGTGCTTGCTTGGAATGATCGCGGGATGCTTGGCGTCAAAACTTATTGATGCTTTGTCCAATCGGCCACCAACTCTTAATAGACCGTCGTCTGCGAGGAAAGGTGATAATGCTGCCAATTTGCTAGATTTCTTCACAACGATTTTCGAGGTAGATGACCGCTCGATCTGCGTTTAAGACGGGTAATTTCATCGGGAAAGGCTTCCTGTTGTACGTAACGAATAAGTTGTTTCCTCGCATTTTGTAAATCATCGACCGTCAAAGGCCCTACGCCGGCCCCAGCGACTTCGTCACGGGAACGAGTACTTATGTAGGCTTGCGTTTCATCATCCTTATAAGAAGCACCGTTAGAATTACGAACGCGAAGATACTTTATAAAACGATTTAGCCACACGATTCCCTTTTGAAGACGATACCAGCCAGAGTAATGTTGAATAAATGTGTCGAGGGGCTTAATTGCTTCTGTTTGTGTCTCGTAGATTTCACCTCTCGTTTCCATTCGAGTTTGTCATCAGGTAGGACATTTATTCCTTCGGGACGATTCGGCCACGTATCTTCGGTCTTATGGAGGAAATTCGGTCCGTTGATCCACTGTTCTATCTCGTGTTGGTTGGTGGGACGCAAACCTCGGGAAGCGTAATCTGCAGGATTTACTTCAGTGTTTACAAATCTTCACTGCGATGGGCTTGAATTGTCGTGGATGGCGGCTATTCGGTCGGCGACGAAAGTCTTGAACCGACAAGATTCATTGTTTATGTACTGTAGAACACAGGTAGAATCTGTCCAAAATATAGTTGCATCGATTTGCAAGTCGAGCTCTTCTCGAATTAGGCAATGTTGCTTTACGGCTACTGTCGCTGCAGTTAACTCCAATCTTGGTATTGTCGTCGGCTTCATTGGGGCTACTCTGGACTTTCCCATCACCAATGAGCAATGGATCTTGTCATTCACATCAACGAAACGAAGGTAGGACACGGCACCATATCCTTCCGTAGATGCGTCTGAGAAATGATGCAATTGTGTATTCTTGACTTCGTCCAGCTGGTAAGTTTGAAATATTTTGGAACCGATATTCGTTGCAAATGAGGCAAGTCAGCTAGCCAACGTTCCCATGTCTTCAACATATTCGGGAATATCTCTTCGTCCCATCCAACTTTGTCTTTACACAAACGTTGCAAAAAGCGTTTGGCGGGTAGAATGAAAGGCGATGCAAACCCTAGGGGGTCATACATCGAGCTGACATCTGACAGGATTCCTCTACGGGTAGGAGCCTTTTCCTGCTGACGATACGAAAACTGAAGACATCTCCCTGTACATTCCATTGTACCCCAAGAGCTATTTCGACCGGGAGTTCGTCGAGGTCGAGGTTGACAACAGACTCGGCACGTTCGCTTTCGGGTACTGACGCCATAACCGCTACGTCGTTGCTCACAAACTTCGTTAACTGGAAAGAACGTCTCACCAGGATATCACGGAGCTGCTGAATCAAACGAATTTCCTTCTGTGTATCTGAAACCGACTTAAGGCAATCGTCAACATAGAAGTTTCGACGTATTGCTTCGATCGTTTCTGGATCAAATTCGCTTTCAAATTCATCGGCTGTCTTACGCAAACAAAACCCAAGCAAAAAAGAATGGCCCCCGCAAGCAAAAAAGAATGGGTGAACTGCATACGGTACACTTCCACCGGTTGGTTGTAATCTCCATCTTTCCACCACAGGAACTTGAGAAAATCACGGTGTATCGGGGACACCTTAACTTGGCAAAACATCGCCTCTATGTCTGCTGTAAAGGCAGTTGGATCTTGAAGAAATCTAGACAGAACTCCGATGAGTTTGTTTGTCAGGTCCGGACCTTGTAGTAGCCGGTCATTCAGTAACATATCTTCATATTTAACGGCACAGTCAAACACAATCCTTGGTTTCTGCTGTTTCTGGGAATGAAGGACCGGATGATGTGAGAGGTACCGAACGTTTCTTTCTTCCGCTTGAATATTTTTACCTTCACTTTCGTGGATCTTGGAAGCATAGCCCTTGTCGACGTTGTTGTTGATTCCCTTCTAATATTTTCGTGAAGATCTGAATCTTTCTTTGGACGTGCCTTAAGCGAATTTAATCTTCTTTCGGCTAAACCTCTGTTGTTGGGAAAGCCCAGCTTGTCACGAAAGGATAAATCGAGCTGATAATGACTATCCACAACTATGAGAGATTCTTCCATTATTGACAGTGGTTTCTTGTCTTCTGAAGACATGACGAGGCTCTGCCCATACGTACTTTCACTGAAATCCATCTCAAACATCTTCTCTACCGTTCGGCCGAGGAATTCATCCTCTTCACGAACAAAGAACGCACTGAATTCACTTTCCGACGTTGTTGCCATGGGACCTGCAACTGACAACCCAAGCGGTGTTCGTATAGCATAAGGCTCCTTTTTACGTCCGCGTCGTTCTTCCATCTTCCAATGAGCTTCTGGTACGTCAGGCCAATAAAAAGAGTCACCTCTGGATTTTTCAATTCGGGAATATGTACGTCATTCAGATGACTCCATTTGCTAATATCTCCTTTGGTTGGAATGCAACTTCTCGCTACAGAGAAATACTTGATTGATAGGGCGTTAGGAATTTCTAAGCAATCCTTTTGGCCAAGACCTTGCACATAGAGAAAATGCGACTTCCCCGACTCTTGAGAAAACTTGTTCATGGTCGTTAGTTTAAAATCAAGAGGTCGACCTTCCAATCCAAGCTCATTCACCAAACTCTCTTTAACCAATGTTGTGTTGGAACCTTCGTGCCGTATGGCATAGGTGATTTTTTCTCGCGAATTGTCTCTGCTAGATACTTTCACGGGAATAACTCTCAAACATACTTGCCGTTTTGCTATGTCAGCTGTACCACAGTGACCATTTTGTGCATTTAGACCTTTGGGCTTGGCCGGTGAAGGGATGATGTCGTCTACCGCATCTCGCAATGAAACACTTACGGCCTTTCTGGCACTTGCTAGCAAAATGTCCCTTTGCCAGACAGAGATTGCACAATCCCTTTTCCGAGACAAATTTCTTTCTTTCAGCGTACGATTTTTCTTGGAACATATAACATCTGCCTAGGGAATGGCCTTCCTTACTACAGAAAATGCATTTTAACTTCATTGTTATGTTTCGTTTACCATCTTGTTCTTCGTTTGACGAAATATTCCACACTTGATAAGCTGAGACGTTCCTCTGTGGTTTACCATAAGACTTGGTTTTGTCCCTTTCCCAGTCCATTTTAACATTAACAAGCCGACCACACTCGGTATTTGCCAACTTAGCTTTGCTTACAACAAACTCTGTGAGTGCTGCGAAATCTGGTTCACTGCTCTGATCTCTAAGCTTATTCGCTTCTTTGGCCCATTCTGAACGGAGGTATTTTGGCAGCCGTAAAACAATCGCGCTGATGTTGTGTCTTGAGTTTATATCTGATTGGTAACTCAATTTGTTCAAAATTCATTCCACACTTTTCCATGTCTCGGGCTAATTGCATAAGCTTTTCATTCTGGTTTTCTGTAATTATAGAACCTTTCGTCACTCGATCAATGTGAGAAGCAGCCACAATATGAGCCTGCCCAGACATTTCATGCAAAATAGACTTTGCCTTTTTGTACCCCTCTTCCGGCGGTAACTTCACAGATCCACTGATGGCTTCCTTTGCTTTTCCCGTACGGAGTTGGGTCAAATAAGTGCGTCTAACGTTGGGATCGCTTTCGACGTCTTCCACATTAGTCTTGAAATTTGTTATAAAGCTAGGGTAGTCTAATGGATTCCCATCGAAAGACATATATTCGCGTTTAGGCATCACATAACCTTTACTTGGGTCTACCTTTATAACCCTGGGTTTACCTTTATAACCCTAAAGTCAAAATTTTTGGACAAAACGCTAAGTATTGCTAATGATTTAAACAATCTAAAAAAATACTGCTTAAACAATGAAGTTGAAGGTATGAATATATTAAGACAAGAGAACGCAAGTCTTAAAGTAGAAAACGAAGCCTTAAAAGATAGCCTATATACGGCCAAATTTGCTTTATCTGATTTGAATACGAAAGTTGAAGATCTCGAACATGAAAAAGCTAGCTTAACTACGACGTTGAAGGTCTTATATACGGATTTTCATCAAGCCCTACGAAGCTCGCTTCAAACAACAAGATCCGCCCATTGTAGTTAATAACCATACAAATGATGAATCACCGAGTTCAATAGCTGAGAGAGATGTTGGTAATTGCTTAAGTTATACAGCTGATGAAACTATCCTTATTCCCGATGACCAGCCTGATGCTGATAACAAAGTCTGCCCAACAATGCAAATAAGATCTAGGTCTGGTAAAGTAAAAGCCAAGCCTAAATCTCAGAAAGATAATGAAATAAATCAGGTCGAGCAGCAGTCATCAAAGCAAAATTCAAATGCTCAACGCAGCGATAAAAGTCAGTCACCCAAGAAAAAAGTCATTGCCGTACTCGGGGACTCGATTATTAAAAATCTTCAAGGCTGGCGACTTTCAGATGACAATAATCACGTTGTAGTCAAAAGTTTTGCAGGAGCAAACTGTACTGATATGGAAGACTACTTGAAACCTGTAGTTCGAAAAGAACCCGAGAACATAATTCTCCATGTTGGAACAAACGATCTAAATAAAAGTGCCTCGCCAGATCAAATAGCACAGGGAATTATCAACTTGGGAATCCAGATAAATCAGGACTCCCCTCAAACAAGCATTACTATATCAGAAATTTTACCTCGAACGGACAAGTCAAATCTACTAATCAAAGCTAGTCAAGTCAATGACATCGTGAAAAAGTATGGCGACCAAAATAAATGTGGCTATATTAACCATAAAGCCATTAATGCAACCTGTCTGAGTTCAAAAGGACTCCACTTGAACAAGAAAGGTACTGCCATTATTGCTAAATCAATCTCTTCTTATATTATTAATTATTGATTAGTAGCGACGGGTATGTCTAACCAAACCTTTTCTAATGTTGATAAAAGCGATTCTAATACGCACAAACAAACTGATTTCAACTTACCTAAACACAGAGGCTTCAAAATTGCTTTTCTAAACATTGCAAGTTTACCCGAGCATATCGATGAATTAAGATTAAACATGCAACATCAATATTTAGATATACTGGTCTTAAACGAAACTCGTCTTGATGAAACTATTAGTAATTCTGAAATATCAATTGATAAATAT